ACTTTCACAATATTTGGAATAAGAGATGTGATGTTCTCTCTTTTCCTCTCTCCTAAATCCTTTTAAGAATTGTGGATCTACAGGTTTGTAATGGAATGAGGATGAGGTTGAGAACCATCATAGAAATAGAACTTAACATTTTCAGGAATAAACGTCAACATGTGGAGATATTTTTATTTTATATAATGAATAACCTTATTCACATAAGAGCAAAAATATGCTATTCTGTGCACATATAGCTGAAAAGAGCAAGAAAAACATTTATATGGTTAGCAATAATATGTGCATGTGTCTGTGTGTGTGTGTGAAAGAGAGAGATGAACCACGTGGACAGATAACAAAATACCCCTAGAAGGGAAGACCGGACAAGTCTTCTACATACCACATTCTAGAACAGAAAGAGAGAGAGAGAGAGAGCTATAACCATTATTTTATAGTCCTGAAACGGCACTACTAAATAGGCATCTTGGTAAACTAGTCAGGACTAATCCCCACATAAATAATCAGACAATTCCTTCTCATATATTTCTTATAGAAAGGTGTTGCTGTCCTTTGTGAAATTGGCACCGTGCTTTCTATCTGGCAGGGCTACATCCAGAAGCAAGACCTCTGATTGGGAGATTTTGAGGAGCATGGAACCACCTCTTAATTACTGTTTTTCCCAGGTCCACACTTACCCAGATAGGGTCCCAGCTATGGACAAATAGTGAACCCCCCAAACAAAAACAAAACACTATGAATGAATAAAAATACATTTTTATAATAAAATTACCAGCAATACATATTTATAGTAAAATTACCAACAGTTGTAGTTGAAGATATGCAGTTGTATCCAAAATATTTAGATTTCAGCATTAAATAGCCTATAGAGGCTGATATGCCGCCAATCAAAATCAACCAATACTTTGCAGGTCGTATTTCAGAGTTCATGCAAAATTTATGGCTATGATACATAGATGATATCATTAAACTCTGGTCTCACCAAATAATTTTGCACTATGTGAACCTTGATCCAGTTCACAATGAAAGAAGAAACCAAAAATCAGCTGGTTTTCCTGGATGTACTAATAAAACTCCCAAAGAACAGGTTCAAGACATCCATATATCCCAACCCAACTTTCATCAAACTTTACCTTAACTTTAATTTTCCCCATGCATAAAGTGTAAAGAAAGAGATTGTCCAATGTCTACAACACCACACAAAAATAAGTGGTGCCAAGACACATGCCAACAAGAGATGGTCAACATCAGATGTACTCTTTGGAGTAAACCTAACATCAGTTATTAGACATTAGACAAAAGTGAAGAAATGAGGAGGAGTACCAGAAAACTGCTACAGATTGTATCCATTATGACAAGGGCTTATTGAAAAATCTTCAGAATATTTGCATTCCATACAACATGAGGATGATATTTAGAATCAGATTGACTTTATGCAGAAATCTCCACATAGTCAAGCCTAACACAGACGAGAACATGATCAAAACCATGCATATTCCATCCCTTCTAGTTATGGCAAAGAAATCAAAGGTGAATCCAGCACATACTCCTAATAGTGATTTTCCAAGCATATCTTAGATGTGGCACAATGGACACCCAGTGAGGATTGAACTCACTACTCAGTCGTAATTGTTCTAGCGAGACAAGCTTGCTAACTATTACACCGACCCAAGGTGCCCACACAGACTTCTAATAGTAAGGCTGGAGGAACATCAAAATGCTATAATTAGTGGTAGAACAATGAAATTAGACATGGCTGATCATGTATGGAGAAAAGAATGGCCACTAACACCTGTGGAATTAAGTAAACATATTAAGTAGAGGAGACCAAAATCAGAAATCTGAAGAAATCAGCCCATATGCTAGGCTATCTTCCTCAGTAGGCTTAGAATAGGAATACTATATGAAGGCCATTAATAAATAAAGAAAGAAGAAAAAACAGCAAGCTTCCAGCAAAAAGCAGTAAGAAAAAAGAAACATTTGCGAAGACAGTCAAGCATGACAGCAGCAGAAGCAACAGCTACTAGGCAATATTTAGTGGATTAAAACATTGCTTTGTGAATTTGGTTATATAGTGCAGATTTAAATTCAGTGGAAATAAAGTGAACAGAATCTAATCATGAGGATTAAATAAAAGGTTCAGTTCAAAATTTACTGAAGGTTAGTTTGAAGAAGGTTGAAGAGAACAACAGTCGAAGCATTATGGTAATGACAAGAAGGGTGAGGACATTAATCTAGATGTAAATAATTCATGCAACCCTTTTATTACGAACAAAAAGTGTGCTGAACTGTTATGTAATATCATTTCTCTTATATAGCAGTGAATGCTGGACAATTTCCTCACAGATGAAGAAGAAGCTTTAAGCAAAAGAGATGTACTTCTACAGAAAGATGCTGAGAGTACCATGGACAGAGCATGTCAGCAACAAGTAAGTTTTAAGTGAAATAGAAACAAAAAAGAAACTTCAAATCAGAAAGTGTTGAAATTTCTAGAGCACATAATGAAACTGGAGAATTTGACACTCACAGGACTTTTTTTTTCTTTAATTATGGCCATATCACATTGAAAGACCAGTTCTCCTCCAATCACCTAAGTTAAAGAACTTTTAGTCTGGTCAGTACCCAGATGGGTAACTACTGGGGAATACCAGGTTCTCCAAGCAAGAAAGAAAATACTAAGAATACCTTGGATGGAGCATGTGACCACTGAGGAAGTTTTAAGGAAAAACTAAACAAAAAGTACATGAATGCATAGATGAGCCCAAAATGGCAAATTACCGGTCAGAACTCTGATGGCCTGAATTGAGAGCAGGGGGCACTCCAGGTGTGTGGTACTCTGACAGTGATGAATTGTCTTTGTTCAAGTTTTCATATAAGACTGAAAACTCATGTACACAGTCAATATGCTGCAAGAATAGAAGGGTCAAGAAATTTCACCACACCCAGATTCCTTAATGAGACAATCCCTCAAAGGTGTTACATTAACTTGGACTAATTTGAATTAAATTTAAGCGCCTAATGATTTTTTTATTTCTCTTTTAGGTTTGGTGATCATTTGGGTGATATTATTTTTTCACACATAATTGCCATGACTTAAATAACATGATCCAATAGAGAAATAAAGAAATTTTCACCAATAACAGTGATTTATTTACTGCTGACTTTGATCCATCTTAGTGAAACACCCTTATATATAATCCGTCTTAATGAAACATCCTAGTAGTAGTTGGTCAACTGGTTGACAACCATTCTCTCTATCTCCCTTCATTTCCTCCAAGAAACAATGTTACTGTGACAGTATCTCATGAAATAAGCAGTAAAAAGAAAAGAGACTTTCTTCCATTCAGCCTATAATGTGTTGTTGAAGAATCTTAAATCTTAGAATCAGAAAGGGACAATTGAAATTTCTGGAATGCATAATGAGGAAGGAGGGCTTAGAGAATTTGCACTCACAGCATATATTGAAGCAAGAGGAGCAGAGGAAAACACAAGGTAACCTACCTAATGAGTATTTACATAATTTACACTTGGACTATTGTCTTCATCTTTGTTATTATTATCACAATGTTTCATCCATTGTTCCTTCTGGTCTTCACCAGGTGCTTGTAATCATACTGCAAATAAGGCAGAACATGAACCTCAAGGGTCCCTAGATACATATATTTTCTGTTTCCACACTTGTTGATCTCCTGCTAGCTTTCTGTAGCTAGAATATATATTTATATTTGGTTGGATTGATGTGAGTTTGTGACCCTGGGTTTCACGCTTTTGCGATCGTCAGACAAACTGATTAATTTTTTTAAAAATTTGGTGGGTTTATGTAGATTGCGTGTATTGGTGTTATTATGGGAGTGGGGGGAATCATGCATGTCCGTACATCAGATACTTTTAAGGAGAAAGAATAACAAATGAACAAGAATTGGGAAGACAGACAGAAGATAATGGTTGACATTACATTTAAATTTTTGAAGATCAAAGTTGACTTGGAAGCTAGAAGCTGGAAGAGAGTTTCACAAGCCCATAGATGAAAGTTCATCAGAACAATTGCCATGAAAGTATTTATAGAAAAGGCTCAGGGGAGCGACATTACAGTGGTGGGAAAGTGACTGAAGGGAGGTCAGGACCAGTAACATTATAGACTTTTCTTGGGATTTTATCAAGAATCAGACCAGATGTGACAGCAGCATTCAATGCATGGATGAATGTTGTTAGCTGATATCTTGTTCAAGACACATCTGCAGGATGTTACAGAAATCATTCTGACACCTATCATCTTGACAAAGAAGGTCAGCTGAGCAGAGCGGGCCTCCCAAGAACCAAATCAGCCAACAAAGGAGTGTATATCATGTATGGCACTTGACTTTTTAGAACTTTAGGAATATTCTCTTGTCTCCTACAGTCTCTTCACTAAGGTTTGTCCATAAATTGTGAAATACCCTCCAAAATGTGTTCAAAAAGCGACGACGATGATGATGATGATGATGATGATGATGATGATGATTTAGGCTATCATAATATATAAACCACTATAGGCTATAAACTACTTATTGTGTATTCTTTAATTTTATATGTTCCTTAGGAAATTTGTTAATAGAATTAAAATCTCAAAAAATTAAAATTAAATGAGCACTGAAAAATACTTGCTTTTATTTTGAAAATTAATTTGTTCTCTAACTGAAATTTAAACTCGAAATTAAATATTGTTATCGGATAAATTTTTCTTTTAAACGATTAAAAAATAGAGTTAAAAAACCTGAAAATGCGTGTGTGTGGGCTGTGTTCTTTCACATATAAAATTTTAAAAAAGTCTCATTTAATTAAGATATTTTAAGAAGGTATCTCAATAAATGGCAATTTTGAAGAGAATCTAAATATCAAAAAAGAAAGAATAAAAAGAAAACAAAAAGACGAATGTGAAGCGCCTTTTGATTGGTCCATATGATTATTATTTGACCAATCGTGAGCATTGATATAACTCTTGTCGGCTGGGATCTATACTCATGGCTGTCTTCAGCATGTATCTGCGGTTAATTTTGTTGATGGTAGCTGCTGTTTTAGGTAAGGTTCTCTTCATGGAAATTCGTTCATATCAACGATAAAACATTACTTCTTTTTTATTTGTATATATTGATAATAAGAAAATAGAAGAACCGAATGCTTTTGGAAAATGGAAAAAAAAATTATGTTGAAAAATGCTTGAAGAAAACAAAAAATAATTTCAAAAAAAGCATGATTTATTTTTTTTTATTGAGAGAAAGATGAAAAATAAATGAAGGATATTTTTTTAACTTATAAAAAAAATTAGTATGAATATATATTTAAATTATTTATATTCTGTTACACTAGTGTTACTCAACTCCGTGGCGAATATATTGTGAATATAGAGAATAATAATACTGAGTAGTGAAAAAAGGCTTGTTGAATGTTGCAATTCAATGTTAATATCGTTCTATCATGATTTATTTTTTATTATTTTCTTTAGAAATTAAATAGTTTAATAATCATCATATTCTGTCGACTCGACATAATGTGAAAAAACATCAATCTTATTTAAAAGTTTAACTGCATAGCTTTTTTTTTTAAAATGGTAGTAAAAATAAGTAGTAAACAGAAACTAAACAAAGTTGTTAAAATAGCTAAGAAATAAAAATAAAATATTTAATAAATTCGGAAAATAATGTAAAAACAATAAAATATTAACATTTATTTACACCTTGTTTTCAGTACGGTTTACGCTAACATGATTTCTTTACGAAACACCACACTTGAAATTGTTTACTCAGTCATCAACCATAAGAATTGTTTTTTTTTTTTTTTTTGGCAGTACGATTGATATTGGATTGTTTTTTTGACGGGGGGTGTTTTAATGATTTCTAAAACTATCAAAAAGGGATTAATGGATATTATTTTTTATATTTTAAAAATTTTTTTTTTTTTTTTTGACAAATCTTTTAGAGGTGGGTGGAAAAAAAAGTCATTCATAATGACGCAGGTATTGTTAAACGTGGTTTATTGCAGAAAGACACTAAACTTGGGGACAAAAAAAATTAATTTGTATCTGTTTGTTGAGTGATCTTTTACTTTAGTTTTAGAGTCCCAAATTATCAGTTTCTAGAAGAGAAGACATTCAGTCACTTATGATTTTTAATCAATAACTTTTTTTTTCTTTTACTTTCAATCAACAAAATGTGTTTTTATTTTATTTTTTAAATTTTTAACTACTAGTAACTAGTATTGGTAAATTTTCATTTTAACACCCGAGTGTCATTCACTGCTGAACTATTTTCTTTCAGAAATTAGTACGCGCTTCCGTAAAGCGATTTTTTGTACTTAATTTAAGAAGAAAGTTAACTTTCAAATATATGTAAACATCGACAAATAAAAGAATAGCAAAATAAAAAAACACCTAGTCCTAATTTGAAAGTTAACTTTCTTCTTAAGAAAAAAGAATAAAAAAAACCTCACCTAACCTTAATTTGAAAGTTAACTTTCTTCTTAAAAAAATTATTTAGTTATTCTTTTATTTGTCGATGTTTACATATATTTGAAAGTTAACTTTCTTCTTAAATTAAGTACAAAAAAAAAGCAAAAAAAAGCACATACTAATTTCTACAAGGAATTACTGTGAAGGAAGTAGGCCCAAATTGTATACGTTCACCAACAAAATTCAGCACTGAATTACTTATCAATAAGCCGGTAATGGCTGTCGAAAGACCAGGAAAAAGACTGATTTTTTTTGGGTTGGGGGGGGTGTTAACATCCAAAAAAGTAGGTTTCTTCAATATCTAATTGTTGATTTGAGTTCAGCATATACATTTGCACGGAGATAAGACTATTTTGGAAAAATTTGATGGGATATTAGTGCTCGGGTGTTAAAATAAAAATTTACCCTAGTATTTTCCAGTAAAATTATACAATTTTAGAAAAAAGCGTGCTCTTGACTATAAAGTGAATTCTAAAATAACTTATAAATTACTGACATCTTATTTTAGACATAACTTTTAATTTCTGTGCAATTGTGAAGAAAATAAAAAAATTGTTTGAAAAAAAGAGGCGTAAAAAAACAAAAAAGTTATTTAAATTTTGTTTATTTGATGTTTATTACTGTTAAAAAAATAAATTTATTTGCAAGGTAACAACAAGAAAACTACTTTTTTTTTAATTATTTATTTTACTTCATTTTTTTAAAATAAAATAATTTCTATTTATTTGTCAAAAAATAAAACAAAACTTTGGATCATGCTTCAAATTTAAAACATTGTTGCAAGAAAATGACTTCGTCTGTGATAAAAGAAAAACAGCATTTTTAACATCATATTCCAGACCATTTTTCAGACAAGTCCTGTAGCTTGGAGTTGAAATATGTATGACATCACAGAAACATGCGAAAAATTCCCAGCTGAACACAGTATTAGAAAATAGTAAACATTTTTTTTTTTTTTTTTTTTTTTTTTTTATGCGCTAAAACTAAATCTTTTCAGGAGATAGGCGATCATGGCTCTCCACAACTTCTTGTCTTTTATTTTAAGCAATTTTTTTTTTTACCCTATCTGTCTTATTCCCGTTCTGGCACTCTCACTCACAAAAACTTAAGCCAATTATATGCTGCTTCCTCCTATTTGTCGTTATGTCTTTTGTTTTGAGTGTTAGATTCTCTAGGCCTGTTTTCCTCATTATGTGACCTAGAAATTTCAACTGTCACTTTCTGATTGTAAGTTTCTTTGTTTTACTACTTTGGTCTTCCTCTTTACTGATATATTTTGTCTATAGCAGGGGTTGACAACCATTTGCTGATTATGTGCTGACTTCAGGTTTTAAAATCATTTAGTGTGCCAACAGCATATGTATTTTTATAAAAGTCAAGGTCAATATACCTGTTCTACAATATATTTTATAAAGTAATATGTAAACCACATTAATAGAAATAAACTGTTTTTAAAAGTTTTTTTTTTTTAAGTTTTTATTATCAATGGGAGTCCAACGAGTGAGCAGTTTTGAAACCGCTAAATATCTTCTTTGCTTTGCAGTAGTTATTTGTTCAGACTTTGTGATGTTATTTACGGCCGCGTGCCATTGGAAATTGCTTGGCATGCCACAAGTTGCTAACCCTTGGTCTATAGTATTCTTAGAATTTGTCGGTAGAACCACATTTGTTGCCTTTTAAACTGTGAGATTTTCCAGTATTCACTGCCGAATATGAGATTTGATATAATTACATGTTGCAAATTAAACAAAGAGATTGTTGGGGAAAACCCTATTTGCTCTCCCAACAACTTCAGGGATAAAAGGGAGAGAGGGGAAAGAAAAAGGAGGTAGCAAAAAAAAAAATGACACCACCTTGGAAATCACAGCAACTTAAGGAATAAAAATGCCCATGGGACTGACTTCACAAGACACAGTGTCTTGCCAACTGCTGTTTCTCCCTCAGCTTTTATTGGCATGAAGCATCTTACAAAGACCTGGATCTTGACTAGTTGCAGAGAGGCTTGTATCTAGACATGCCAAGCTGTCCAGCTGCTAACAGGAAAAATCCGGATGTAACTGGTGTATGCAAACATGTCCACATTTGATCTGAGGCCTCTTTTTGCATTCGTACTGATGCATGTTTGCCACATTACATGGCTGTTTGTCACTCTTTTTTTTCTAAAATAAATGCAGGAGACTTGAAAAGGTGTTGTGGGGTGATTTCACAGTGGAGGCTTGTATTTGTACTAGGTCGGTCCTAAAATAGGTTTGACGTACAAAAATGTTAGGAACTTGATATAATAGATATAACGCAGAGTAATCTAGTTGTGGTCGCTGATACTTTAATATTCGATTGTTGTCCAACATCGACTCACTGACCAACTGACTCCTACTTATTATAGGTGGGAGAGTCTATTAACTATAGAATAGGTGTGTTCCACTGTAACAAAAGGTTAGAAAAGTGTATCACAAACTTGGACCTTTGTGCCTGGAAAAATACAGTGTGTTAAATGAACGTTTTTTTTTTTCATTGCCACCACTATTATTTTAACTACCATCACTCCTCGGAAATGTTTATTGTTTTAAAAAGTGATGATTAGAATTGTAATAAAACCTAAACATTATGAAAGTATGAATGCAAAAGAGGCCTCAGATCAAATGTGGACATGTTTGTCTACACCAGTTACATTTGGATATTTCCTGTTAACTGCAGGACATTTTGGCATGTCTAGCGAGATACTGCAACTGGTCAAGATCCAGGTCTTTGTAAACACCTATTAAAAAAAATAATAAAAACTCACAGGAATATTTACATATGGTTTGACAGCACTTCTAAGTTTGCTTTCTGAACCTCTGGCTTGGATTTCAGCCTGAGATCCAGTTATAGTATCTATTCCTCTTCAGCTGTGTTTCTGCTTTCAGACAATGTCAAAGCAATGAGGGAAATACTGGGATCCCAACCCTGTGATAACACCTTCTCCATTTTATCAAAGGGCAAGGGTAGTGTATTCTGATGCTTGGCATGTGTTATAGTTATCAAGACAACTGATGTCTTTTTTACTTTTAGCTTGTGCATACAAGTATGGGCACACAGCATGAAACTTAAGAAGTGGTAGTATCAGGTAGGTAAATGCAGGATCAAAGCACTGAGGATCAGATTATAATATCTGTGAGGTCTACCTGAGATCAAAGTGCTGACAATCAGTTTGTAATATCCCTAAGGCCTGCCTAAAATCAAAGTGCTGATGATCAGGTTGTAATATCTGGGAGGTTTGCCTGAGATCAAAGTGCTGACAATCAGTTTGTAATATCTGGGAGGTTTGCCTGAGATCAAAGTGCTGACGATCAGTTTGTAATATCTGGGAGGTTTGCTTGAGATCAAAGTGCTGATGATCAGTTTGTAATATCTGGGAGGTTTGCCCGAGATCAAAATATCAGATTGTAATATCTGGGAGGTCAGATTGTAATATCTGGGAGGTTTGCCTGAGATCAAAGTGCTGATGATCAGTTTGTAATATCTGGGAGGTTTGCCCGAGATCAAAATACTCGGGATCAGATTGTAATATCTGGGAGGTTTGCCCGAGATCAAAATA